AAGAAGTTGTTGTTGATGCAAAGTCCTTTTACGAGGTTGCTTCCAGAATTATGGATGGTAAAATCAAACTAATTTTTATAAGCAAAGAACTTGTTGATCGTAAGGCAATGATGCTTACAGACCGTTTCAGTCAATGCAAATCAATAGCAAATACAAGAGGTTTGCATTTCATTCGCCCTATATCATCCAACTCAGTAGAATATTCTATAAATTCTCTTTTTTCAAGTGCACAAACTATGTACCAGGCAACATTATTTCCTGAATCAAAATCAATGATTCCATCATCACTTCAGTTAGCTGCCACATCAAGAACAGAAAATGAATTAGAAGAAGGGCAGTGGATTGCTGTACTGTTTGACGATAACTGGTGGCCTGGCCAAGTTATTTCAATTGATAAACAAACTATGACACTAAAACACCATTTCAAGCCTGTAGCAACTAATAAATTCAAGTATTTGGATAAACCAATGTTTGAAACCATTTCAATTGATACATATTTATCTTCTTTACCAGGTGACCCAGCGCCTGATCCATCTGCACGCTATTTTTTATATGATTCTAAGGTTACATTGCATGTCAAAAATATAATCAATAAATTATAAAGTAAAATTGTATTGCAATTTGTCTGTAATAAATTTATTTATTTAATTGTTAATAAAAATTAAATAAAATATGTAAAATTTTTACTTAATAAATATTTAAGCTGTATATATGAAAAATAATATGCATAAATTTCAAATAACAGTAATTCTAACTAATAAATAGAGATGTAAACTTTTCATCATGTCTGCAACGTCATGTCCGCACCACTTACATAATTTTAAATCATGTAAATTTTCATTAAATCATTTTAAATTCCGAAAAAAATTGTAATTTCCTTTATATCTACATATATTTTAACCTTTTCATGCCAAATATGTTTATTTATCAGTGTTTTCATCATAGAAAAAAAAAGGGGGAGAATTTCTCACCCTTTCTCAAAAACAGGGAGAGATTTCAAAAAGTTAAGTGAGATTTCTAAAAACTAAAAAAACACAAAAACTCTTGAAAAAAAATCATCTCTTTAATTATAATACATTTTTAATGTCTTCTATTTTTTAAAGCATTGAATATTTTTGGTGCATCATCATAGAAGATTTTGCCTTTACCAGGTATTCGTCCATTTTACATAAAAAATTGCATAAAAAATTTGAACGTCTTACATGAAGAAACCTTACCTACGGTAAACACGTGGTTGCAAAGAAATGTGTTCTGAAAGGGGTTCCGTGGTTGTGTTCTGTTGCTTGAAAAGGTTCTGAACAATACTGGTAAATAGGGAAGCTAGATAANATGAAGAAACCTTACCTACGGTAAACACGTGGTTGCAGAGAAATGTGTTCTGAAAGGGGTTCCGTGGTTGTGTTCTGTTGCTTGAAAAGGTAATTTCTCGCGGTAATCATTTTTTAATGCGAGAAAAGAAAAAAATATGTGAGATTCTCGCCCTGTAGTGAAAACACTGTTTATTTTGTAAAATTCAGAGAAGTTGAGGTATATATTGAAGACTAGTGAAAAATAAGGTTTTTCTGCGTCATGTCCGCAACACTTCAATTTTTTTTATTAAAATAGTTTTATTTAAAATTTATCCAAAAATGTTCTTTATTTAAGAAAGAACAATATATAAAGCTTTTGTAAAAAAAAATTCACTCTTCTATCTTAAATATGTGTCAAAATATGAAGTATCGAACTTTGAAAACGTCATGTCTACAACGTACACAATACTGTGGAAACACCCTGCATGGAATAATATCCATTCTTTTCCTGACACAAACAACACTCACTTATTGAAACTGGAAAGAAATTGTGTTATTGAACATAATGAGCATTCTTCTGAGCGGAAGAGATTTCACTTTAAAGGGAATAGACAAATCATTCAAAATAATGTTAAAGGTTAAGGTATAGAAGAGTCATATATACCAAACCATGAAAATATGCCAAAGGATGTATAAACAGTTGGGTAATATCTGTTAGTAGAAATGAAACATAAAAAATAGAAAAACAGATTTATTCATATAGCCCCTTACAATCGGTTAATTTTCAAGAAAACAAGCATAAAAGTGTCTATTTTGCCAAATACACACATTTGATTAGTGCTAGTATCTAGTTTAAAATAAACTAACTACTTACAATTACCTTAAAAATATCCTGGTACTGCTATATGGTGTGTAAAATGAGAAAAAAAATTTTTCTGGGCAAAAAAATCTTATTAGTTTTATTCTTATTGGCGCATTACTACTTAACACTCCAGCCCGTCAATATCACGGGAGTGAGAAATAGTGAGCGAAAACTCACTCACGGGAGCGAGAAGGAAGGGGATAGAAGATGAATATATAGAAATATGCTGTTTGAGAAAGCCTGATAATGAAGGAAGAATACTTATGTTTTCAGAAAAAGAGGATCAACGCTGGATTAACTTCGATCAAAATACGGACTAATTACAGAATTCTGAAATTGCTACATATGGCTGTGTTACAAGACTTCGCTGCAGTTTTAAATTTTATAATGCCTTAGTACCAGGGTTTGTTGATTTAAATCAGCTTGATTTAAATCAACTAATTTTTTTAAAATATATATATTGATTTTAAAAGTTAAAAAACAGTGTTTTAAATTTTTGATACTTCTATTACTTTGTTTTCTTAGTTTTAAAATTTATTTTAAATAAATTGCTGCATTCATTAATTTTAGTTAATGAAATTACTTTCGTTCTTGGCGTTTGTTAAATTCCAACACATTTGAAATTACATTTTTAAAAATGTTTTGATTCTTGAGATTGAAAGTACAGATTAAAGTAAACATTTAATGCTGTCTTAATATAGACTTGCATAGCTGTAGAAAGTAATTAATAAAACATGAATTTTTTCAAAAAATAATGCAAATCATGTTAATTAAAATTCCACCTTTTGAAAGAAAAAGCGTGGAATTAAAATCTACATTATATTTTATTGGTAGAAAATGTATATTTCTGAAGCTTGAGGTTATATTAAAAAGAAATTACCCTAATATGCCAAAAATAGAAGAGGAAAAAAAAAAAGGCTGATGAATTCAGATATTTTTCTCCTGATATAGTGTCAATCTTTTCTTCAAAGTCTATTTGAAGCAGTAGGGTTATAATATGTTTAAAGTATCTTTGACATTATCTGATTTTCTATAAAGAAATTTTGTGAAGAAAAATTACAATGAGTACATAGAATTAAAAAATTTTTTTTTAGCTTAACTTATCTATTTTGATATAGAATTATAAATAATTATTTTAACATAAACATATATAGATATAATATTTATTTATTTTTTGATGAATGCCTACATTTATAAACACAATCTGTTACATTTATTTTGTCATTTTAAAAATCAAGGAAAAACGAGAAGAAATCACAATTTTAAATTAAAATTATGGTTTACTAATTGAAACTTTGTTTTAATAGTCATAGTACAGGGGTCTATCCAAGCCAAATTTACTAGCGTTTAGCAGTACCTTCACAAATTAAACTTTGTATGTAACGGTAGCACAACTTAGTAACACAAATTCAACTCAAAAACGGTAGAATAATTTGACAAAAAACTTTTTTCCTAAAATGCTATTTTTGTGTCTCGCAAGAAACGATAAATCCATATTTTTACCATGTTTGTGTTGATTTTTTAATATGATTTCTAATTTTAACAAATTATGTCTAAATTTTCAAAAAATAGGTACCTCTCACAAAAACCTAGACAGACCCCTGAAGTATTCTTTAAATTTTCTATTTCATCTAGTCTTTAAATTTCAATTATGCATTTATTTCAGAATAGTTGCTATGCATTCAAAGCTATGTATTATAATGAAAAATTATTTTAGCAAGTTAGAGCTTCTAAAATATTGTCATAATATAGTTTTAATATTAATTTAATTTTGATTAAACATTTACAAAGTTTTTTTAATCATAAATGAAAGTTCTTACAGTGTATTTGAATAAAAATCAAAAAAACGACTTCTTTGATTTTTTTTAAAAAAAAATCACGAACCCTGCTTAGTACCTGAAAAAAAGATTGTAAATTGTAGGTTTAAATTTCAGAATGCTTTTTTAGCTGAATAAATTATTGTAAATTGAATTTTTTGTCCTTCCATTATCGTCCCTTCATTACCATTAACAAGTACCTCATTTTTATGGTTAATATACTCTGTTTTCAGAAATACTTTTCAAATTATAATAATTAAATCCTTCTTTACATATTCTTATTCTTTTTGTTGTCGCTTGGCTAAATTTTTATGAAAAATATGATAATGTAATAATCATGTTGAAAAAAATTTTACCGTAAGCATTTTTTAAATTTCAATTTTAAAAAAGTTATAATCTAAAAATTCCTAGGTATGATTCTTTAAGTAATTACTTATTTAAGGAGTATAAAAGTCTAAATAATAATCATTGAAAAAATGTGTAACAGTTTTGGTTACAGTCAAAAATACATTGAAATTTTTTTGGCTGGGATTCACCACATCTCAGTCATAATTCAAAAAATATTTTTTGGGATAACACATAATTTATAAACATTTTGGATATTAAAAAATTAGATTATTTGACTTACGTCCAATGTTTAACAGTAAAAAATATGATAACTATAAATATTATATATTAAATAGTAATAATAATAAAGGTTAATTTGAGAGTCGGAACAAAATATCTCTCTAAAACTGGAATATGTATTACAAATTCTGCAACAACTGAGGCTTTAATGCAATTTAATGAATGAGAAAGTGGACTCTAAGATGAACTTAAGGATACGTTAAGAACGTGGTTTTAAAACTCAGTTATTTGCAAGCAGAAACGTACCTAAATAATATTTAATGTAAAACACGTAAAGTTTTATCAATAAACTTAGAGTATAATGAAAAGTTTAACTGAACTATACCTCTGAAAGAAAAAAAATAACGTTACTTCAATTGCATAAGCTAAAATTATTTAAAGAAAAATAAAAAAATTATAAAATACCTCATGGAACAAACCCCTGAGACCTAATATGATCACACTTTGCTACTTCTGAGAAATTTTTGATCGCATAATTTTAAATAAAAACAGGAAAATATCCTGAATAGTCCCATTTTCAAAAACCATTTACTATTGACCAAACATTACAATCTGGAATGATATGAGATATCATTTTTCAGCTCTTATTAACTGCTTAAAATTGACTTGTAGCTTACATAAGGACTCGATCACGAAGGGACTATTACCACTGCCTGCTTTCTTTCTTGAGTTGTTGTTGTTGTTGCTGTTAATTTACGTCACACTAGAGCTGCACAGTGGGCTATTGGCGACGGTCTGGGAAACATCCCGAAGGATGATCCGAAGACATGCCATCACAATTTTGATCCTCTGCGGAAGGGATGGCACCCCCGCTTCGGTAGCCCGACGACCTGCGCGCGAAGTCGAGCACTTTACGGTAGCACAGTTTAACGAGGACCAATACCGCACACCCTCGGTCCCTACGCAGACTGATCCAAGTGGTCACCCACCCGCACACTGACCGTAGCCAGTGATGCTTGACTTCGGTGATCTGCTGGGAACCGTGTCTTAGCGATCAGTCCACTGCGGGACTTCTTTCTTGAGAACTTTAGTGGCTGGGTTTTCACAGTTTAATTTGTGCGAAGGATGCAGTCACTCGAAAAAATACTTGTCACACGAAAAATGGGACCAATTCCATTTTTTTGGAAGATATTCTCTTAAAACCCAGTTACTCAATTAGTTGCGAGCGGCAACTGGGTTAATTTTTTGCTCAACCTACCATTTTTTTAAGATGTGGCGTAACTACCACTACAAACTAACTACCACTCGTGTAAAGCTAAGAGTGGTGGCGCTAGTGGTGAAATTGCTCTTTCAAGACTTCCGGGTTACTGTTTCCGATATATTTTTACGCCGCAGATTGAAAAAACGCGCCATCATATTATTGCATAATATCTTTTGCAGTATTTCACATGTACCGAGTTCTTTCTTTCAGCCTTTAAACTTCAGCATTATTATATTAATATTATAATCATTAGAATATTTTCTAATTTGGCTAACTTAAAAAGATATCTTTAAAGATATTTTTGGCGACATTTTATTCTAATGTAGCCAAATAAGGGATGAAATACAAAACATGGCAAACCTTAAGAATTATTCACAATGAGATATTAACTTTCCAAAATTTTTTTGGCCTTACGACCTCTGAGAATCAATACATTTCTGAAAGCTCTTATGAATGGTACAATTCCCAAATAGCAATATAAGGTTTTTTCAACACAACAAAAATCCTTTCATGCAAACCTAAAAAGGGTTTTTTACACGGTTTACGTGTAAACCTTCTAACCTTAAAATGAGGTCTGCGACAATCTGCTCTATTCTACGCACATTACCCTAATCCAAAACCTTGGAAAACATCCTTCAACATAACAACCTTAAAACGAGGTTGTTTCAGGGTTTTCAAGCGGGGAAAAAAAACCTTGAGTAAAGCTACTTCTAAGATGAAAATCATCTTAAATCTGCATAATTATAAGGTTTCCGTTTGCAGCGTTTTCGTATGCTCAGCTATAATTTACCCTGTCATAAGATTTTCATTGA